TTCGCTTCTTCCTTCTTCGGGGTGTGTTGTGAAGGGTCAGTGTGAAGGCCTGCGTAGCACAGCGTGCGACCGATACCGTCGGAGAAGAGACACTTCTGGCAGCCGCCAAGGGTCATCCTCAAGCCCGGGCCCCTTCTTTCTCCTCCCTCCAGAGCTTGTTAAAGGGACCCCTTGCTTGCCACTTCTTTGGAAATGGAAGGACACTCAGATCCAAGCGGTGCAGTGGTGGTGAAGCCCATGTGTTTGGATGACAGCCATGCACTGCCCAGTAAACTTCGGGGCTGGGTGTCCACGCGAGAGAGGGGTGTGTGTGGAGTAACCATGTGTTTACGTGATTGCGAATCAGCTTTGTTCCCTGCCTCGCTAATCCAACGGGGGAATAATTGTATCTACTCTGCAGAGTTTTATGAGGATTTCTCTCACATGTCTATACGTAGAGAAGCTTGTGTGGCATGTGATGAATACTCAGGAAATGGTTTTATCAGTAGTATAATTACGTAAAAATTGACCTTTCCACCTAGTAGGTTGTGAGCATTGACGTTTTTGTCAATAATGTACCTGTGTCCCCATGTCAACAGCGTGAGCAGGGTGCCCATACAAGGGTGAGTCCCCCACAGATACTGCCTCTCGGAAGCCTAGTGGGGAGGAACCAGAGCCTTGGGTTGGTGGCTTTGGGCAGGCCTGCTAACGCCCTCCAGGTTTAAAGCCTCCAGGTTGCGGTGAGTGCGGGTGAGGGGTGAACGAGAGAAAGGAGGGGCCAGAAGACCTGAGGACTGACTTTTTGGGGGCAGGGCGGGCTGAGCGCTCTGTGGGACGCACGAGGAGCTGCATGAGAGCAGTCCACGGAGGGAGGTGGCAGAGCGGGGAGACACGGGGTGGGCGAAGGGCAGGAGGCGGCGGGTGTCTGAGTGGAGGAGGGACGTGGGGGACGCCGAGGAGGACAGGGCGTTGGGTCGGAGGAGGGAGAAGATCGCCGTGCTCAGATCTGAAGGCCCGTCATGTGGACGAGGGACTTAAGTAGTCCTTTGGCACCAGTGGGGGAAAGCAATAGGAAGACAGGGTCTGGGGCCAACATAGATGACAGAGGAGCCTGGGTAGACACCAGTGACACCACTTAGCAGCTGCGGGACATCAGTAAGTCCTTTGAGTCTTGAGGGGCAGGCTCCTCCTTGACCCACTGCGCTGTGCTGTGGGCCTTTCCTCACTGGCAGTTCTGTCCAGTGTGATTCCTTTGGAAGAGTTAATGCCCCTCAAGACACACAACTGACCTTGTTACCCCGGTTTGCACAGTTTCTCTAAAAGGCCGTTTTCTCACTGCTGCCATTCTTCTCTCTTTCCTCCTTTTCTTCCTCTTTGTGTTCCTTGGCGTTGCTGGTTTCCCTAGGTTCCACAGTGGTGGGAACACTGAAGTTGTCTTGCGGGGACCATTCAGCATCATTATAAATTAAAATTCTTTCAGAACTATAGAAAGATTTCTAGTATTTTGCTCTCCCATTGAAATTCAAATAGTGAACTCCATCCTACCATGTGGGCAAATTCCATAGTAATCAGGTGACAATATGACCTTGAACTTTGGGGCTCAGTTGGCTAAACAATGACAGCCCGATGCTGCCAAGTAAAAGCAACTGATGAGACCTCTCGCATTCACCCTAAACCACACACGTAGGACGGTTGAATTGTGGCAAGAGTTTTATTAACCTGAAAATGGTTTTGCCCTGTTAAGTGCTTTTTCGTGTTGTGCAAATAGTACAAACCCAGCTTTTCTGAATTCGTGCTTGCCCACACGCACGATTCACCATCACGTAATTACAAAGAGTAAATATGTGTGTGTGTGGCATCTCATGTCACAGGACGAGTGTCTGTGATGTGACAATAAACATTAAACAAGAGAGTGTGTAAAAGATTGATACAGTGCCCAGAAAGAAAGGAAATGCCGGGCAAAGTTCGAATTTTGTACATAAACTTTGGCAAAGAGCCGCAGTGAGTTACCATTTTCCTTACATCAGTCACGGTGCAGAAGACGACTTTTTTAAGCAAAGAGCAATCTCTGGAATTTTGCAGAGAGACCCTTGTTAACTTTAGGCTTTTTGCAGGATGTCGCTGCTTTGTGGGAACCCAGTAAAAACAAACTCCATCCATTTTTACTCCCTTAACATCAAAGGAAGATTGAATAGTTCCGAGGTTGGTTGTGCAAAACAAGAGGAAGAAATTTAGAAGCTAATCAGCATTTCTGCTCACTCTATCTGTTGTGCTTGTTCTAATTCATATTGTTTTTCATTGTGGAATACATCTGTTATTTCCTTTGGTTGTGTTTCTCTTTAGTATATCAGAGCCGCATTGAGTATGTTCCCTGCATCAGGACAAAGCAGAACTGAGTGCTGAATTGTGTTTGGTCCTTGAGAATGTCCTTCTGGTTATAGCTCATGATTTGGATCAGAATCAAATTCTAAAATTTCGAAACGTATCTCTCTTTGCTTAATGGGTTTACTTAATGAGAGAGTGTGGAGAAAAGATGTGTATTAAACTGATTCTGGAAATGACAGTGCAGAGTGAGTTTTATGTGAAACTTTCCAGGATCGGAAGCGTCTGAGTTTTTAACCGAGCTCCCAAATGCACGTGTCTTCGAGATGCAGCTCTAGTCTTAGAACGGTGACAGGTAATAAAATGCTTCTTACTGCCGTGCAATTAATGGGAAAAGCTGGGTCATTTCCAGGCGTAATCGAGTTCCCATAGCTTGTAATTAGAGCACGTGTTCTGAAACCTGTGTAACTTCGGATGTTTGCAGCATTAAATATACTCATGTCGTAGCCACGATGAAGCATGTTCGTGTGGTGTCAGGATTTAACTTGCAGAGCATGTTCCTAAACTTACCATTTCTGTGTCTTCTTGTTTGTCGTTTTTCAGACATACCTTTTAGGCGGCATTGCTCAGGAGTTAGGGAAAGAGAACCCTTTGTCAAGAGACAGTGCAATTTTTCTGGCCCGTTTATATAACATGGAATTTGAGCACAATTCTAAGAGCTTTTTTTAAAAAAACTCAGATTGAGTTCAAATTGACTCCAGGTTTACAGAATAAATATGGCAAGCTGCCTTATTTGGGCACGTGGTTTAACATGTCTGAATTTTATTTCACTCATTTCATATGTATATGGAAGTTCACCATTTGTCAGGCATTATACTGTTTAGTTCTCATTTACACTTCATTCCCATCCCTGACCCCCTGTTTTTAGAAGATTGGGAAACGGGTGTTTAAGGTTACAGTCTGACCTAGGTTGTGGAGCAGAACACGATTTGACCCAGGCTTCTGATGCCGGATTTCAAGCCCATAACTTTCGAGCCAGCGGTTGCCAAGTCCTCCAGCATTTCCCGGAGAGCTGGACGAAACACGCACTGCTGGGCCCCTGGGTTTGGGATTCTGTAGGCCCCCTGTGATGTGGTATTTCCGACCAGGCCCTGGGTGTCGATGCTCCTGGCTGCGAGCATCCACTCTGAGAACCGCTGTTCTACACGGGGCTGCCTGACTCAGTTCTTCTGGAGAGCACACAAGACAGGTCACATGTCATGTTTGCATTAACCGTCACTAACGCTGGTGGGCTACGCGCCAAGCTCTAGACAGGGTCCCAGAGAAACCCCCTTTCATCCCCCCCTTCATTGTAGGAGGCAGTTAAGGTGTAAGGAGAGGACGGGCGTGTGATCCCCACTTGGAGAAGGAAGCTGATGCTGAGAGAGGCACCCTGGAGGTGGCCTCACGGTGGGCCAGTGGCAAGGCCGCTTGTCCTTCCGTCGGCTGGACTGGCTTTGAAGGCCAGAGCTCCGGAGCTGTCTTCAGAGCAGGCTTCGTGCTGAGGGGAGACTGAGGGAAAGGACGACTCTTCCTTCCTTTCCCCCATCGGTCTTTTCTGTCCTTGGGGAAGGGCTGTGGCAGGCCAGGCCCAGGAAGAAAGGGTCTCCCGGTTTCATGTTGTTCTCCCATCGGTTCTGAGGGTAGATGGCGCTGTTCCTTGTTCTGATGAATGATGCGATTCCGCAAGTGACCTGCTTTTCCGTTGAGCCATGCGATCGTTGATGTCCATTTGCGCGGACTGAAGGGATTCCACGTGGCTTTAAATGTAGGAACTGTGGTGGGGGCCAGCGCACCGAATTAGAACACATGTCAGCTGACGTTGGCCGCTCTGCAGCGGGGGCATCTCTACCCCGTGGTGGCTCACAGCCAAGGGAACTCGCGGAAGCAAGAAGTAGGAAGTGCAGGAGGATATCAACTCGAATTAGGTCTGAACCCTGTCCTCTGCGTAGGACACCGTAGTTTCCCCTTCGTTTTAAGGCTTAACGAGAAAGCATATAAGGCCGTTTCAAAAGGTTCTCACCTCGATATATCACGCCGATATATAAATTCGTTGTATGTTTGACTCCATCAGAAATCATCAGAATGATGATTATGTATAAGACACTTACAAAAATAAGATGTCTGTCCCTCCTCCCAAGAATTCAGTGGCCTCACCATCGAGTGTTTAGTAATTTGAACGAGAGCACCCTGACCTGAGATTGGTGCGGTCTGGTGTCTGCCTCGTCACAGAGGTGCTGATGCGGTGACTTCATGATGCCAGGGTTCAAATCCTGGGACAGGCTTTTCTCTTTAGTGGGATGGCAGTCTGATTGTAGAGCCAGGCAGAGCGAGATCCCAGCCCTCCCTGCTCTCCGCTTGGAGCCCTCCCTGCTTTCAGGTGGCCTTGTGTATTTGTCGTCTAAGTTTACCTCCTAATCTTAAACTGTGGACTCTCAGAAGGATATTATGGCTGATTTCTACTCTTTTGGATGTTCATCTCTGTGTTTTCTCCTTGCGTTTTTGGTTTTTTGCTTGTTTTTTAAGATTTCAAACACAGTGGTGCCAACTCCAGTAACAGTCAACAACCAGAAGGAACCGTGCAACCTGCACACAAGGTGTGGTTTGCGTGCTGGGGTTTGGCCACGCGTCTGACATGCGTTTCTTCTGATTTGGTGCAGGTTAACGAAGCCCCTGTCGTTTGCCGACTGTGTTGGGGATGAGCTGCCGTGGGGCTGGGAAGCGGGGTTCGACCCTCAGATCGGCATCTACTACATCGATCACATCAACAGTAAGTTTTCCTTTTCGGTAAAAACAACCGCATGTGAAAAAAAGCCTCCCCCCCAAATCTGGAGTCATACAAAAGAGTAAACATTTTGCAAGGTCCATTTCTTTATTTTGCCCCCCACTTTCTCCGTGACTAACATTTAACTGAAATGCCCGACTGGGAATTTGGTGCCTGTGTGTAGATGCTCCAAATTATCAGGGCAGAGGGGAAAAAGCTGTCCGGTGTGTCTGTCTATCCGTCTGCCTGCCCGGCTGGCAGGGAGTGAGCTTTCCCCAGTGCGGGTCTGGAGACACGGAGAGGACGATCCGTCTGGTTCCTCTTCCCATGACCTCCACACCTTCGTATCGGGGCTCCTCCTCTTCTCGTCCTTTCCATGGGAGGGGGCAGGCATCGGTGAGGTCTGGTCTAGTGGCGAGGCCGCGCATGGCTGCAGGGTCAAGGGCAGGACGGGGCTCGCTGTCACCTCAGGCAGGGGCAGCTGTCCCTGTGGAAAAGCTCTGAACCCTCATCTTGTTTGTTTCCTGATTTCTTTGTGGTTGGAAGGCAAGCACCTCTCACTTTAATAGCTTTTTTAGAAACTTTATTTTTATTTTGACACTATTACAGATGTCCCCATTTCCCCCCTTTGCCCACCTCCACCCAGCGCCTGTACCCCCTTCCCTCCGGCCATCACCGTACTGTGCTGTCTGTCAATGGGTTATGCATGTATTTTGGTGCTTTGGCTAAGCCTTTCCCTTTCTTCATTCGGTCCCCTCCTCTGTCACAAGGTCCCCCCTCAGTTACAAGCGCTCTCTGCTCAGCCCCTAGGCGCCCCTAGGTGCTCCAACTGCCACAGCCACCCAAGGTCCTCCTGCTCGGGGCCCCATTGCTTCCTGGAGGTCATCCTGGTACCCAGCCCTCCCCAGGCGGGTCCCACCCCCACTCTGAAGTCTCGGTATTTCTGTAATACCAGGGATTTTGGGATTCTTAAAATTCTCTTGTGGTATCCATTTAAATTATTTCTTTGTGTGTCTCTCTCACTACAGTGGGAGCTTCTTGAGGCCAGCAGCTCCATCCTTGTTTCTGTATCCTTGGGTGCCTCGTGCAGTGATAACCTCTCACATGTTAGAAGGAAGGAAGAGCTTCATTGTTCAACTCCCAGATCAAAAGCTTTCTGTTTGTTTTTGAATAAGTTGAAGTGCATTTCAAGTATAAAATATGCTCCAGAAAGCACCATCCTTTATATTTAAAATCTTAATGCTCAGACTATAAATGTTTAGGTCTCCCGTTTTGCTGTAGCGCAGTAATGGTAGCCCCGTGGCCTGATGGGTTGACTGTGCCCTGAAGCGTCCAGATTACCCACAGCAAGTAGTTCTCCCGCTAAAAAGGACCTGCCCCAGCATCTCATTAATCTTGAAGACAGTCCTGGGAAGTAGTTCAGGGAGCAAATGGTAGCATCTTCTCCTAACAGCTGGTCCGCACATATGCTGTGTCCTGATATTGTATAGTTTCAGCATTATTTTCTCTTTGTTTTAATAAAAAAATGAAGTAAAGAATGTTTGGCTGTTTAATACCATTTCTATGCAACACTATTCAATATCTGGAAGTAAAAGAGTTGACCTTGACATTGATAGTTATCATAGGCCTTAAGTGTTTTATGATAGAATTCACCTTCGAGTGGGGGTGTGGGTGGAGCTGGGGGCAGATGGTGGTGCGGGATATCTAACCAGAAGGTGAAGATGAAGTGCTGTTTATAGGATTTTGGTATCATTACTGGAACCAGACGTAAATAACTGGGTAATGTCAGGGTTGTACTCTGACTTTTTTCCCTTCTCTTTAGTAATTGAGGTCTCATGTACATGCGAGAAAACGCACAGTCGTTAGGTGAGCATTTCAGTGAATTTTGACAAAGGCCATTCCAGTTAGGGTACGGAATGTGCTTGTCACCCCGAGTAAGTCCTTCCCTTCCCCAGTCCCAGCGCTGCTCGGTGTCCTGCTTTCTGTCACCGTGGCTTAGTTCTACCTAGTCCAGAGCTCCGTGTAAATGGAGTGCGTTCTTCGCTGTGAATAGAGTCCTCGCTCGACGTATTTTAAAGAGTGAGCTACTGATGTCTGCCATCTCAGGGGTGAATACTAATCACAGGACACGTGTCTGACAAAGGACCCACAACCAGAACATGGAACTAACTCCTGAAAATCAACATTAAAAAGACAACCCAATTTAAAAACGGCCACAACCTCAGACCTGTCCTCGGCTCTCCTCTCCGTCCCCTTCCCCCGGGTGCTTGGCCCCCTCGAGCCCCTTTCCTGGCGTTCTGGCCCCAGCCTCCCACACGACCGACACTGCCCGAGGCTGCCCCCGCCTGAGGACCACGAGGGGGAACGCGGCACCCCCGGGGCCTCTCTGGGACGGCCACTGCGTTTAGTCTTGTGTCCGGCCTTCCAGCACGCCCACAGGAAGAGTGGGTCCAGGGGCCGGGAGAGCCGGGGGTCCAGGCGGGAAAACCAATGGAAATGGGGTTGCTGCCATGTGACTGGTCTGTGGGTTTCTAGTTCCTTCCACAAGCCTCCGTGCGCACTACTGTTCAGAGTCTTCTTCGAGTGTGTCATGCCTTCTGTCCGTGCCTTGGGGCACTGCAGCCAGTGGGGGAGACCAGGTGGCTCGTGCCTACAGCCTGCGGTATTGTCACCCACCAACTCCTCTGTGTCAGCATCGAAGCAGCGCAGGGGCCCAGGCTTGGTTGGGTGTTCCTCACGGGAAGGTGACGCTTTACGTGGACCTGCTTCCTTTAGCGGGAAGGAGATACGTTTGGGGCCCTTCCGTGTTACCTGTCTTATTGCATCCTCTGTATTTTCCTATGAGGATAAACTGTTAACGTTTGATAGAAAGAAAAAGTGTACATACCTAAAATATGCTCGTAAACTGTGTTATGGGGGTACTGACCCTAACAGTTGGTAGTTGTATCACTGCTGTGAGAACATTTACGAATTTCATATCATTGTCAAGGTCAGGGCCTCTTCTTCTCAGTCAGCCCTCTTATTCTCCCACCTGGATGCGGAGTGGGCGCAGGTGAGCATGGCTTTCTCTTCAAACTGGCTCTTTTCCCTGCTCAGACTGTTCTTTCTCTCCTTGGTGACCTCGTGTTTCTTTTACGAGTCCCCGTGTCTTGTCATGCCCCAAAGGTGGGGCCCCTCCCTCGTCCCCTGGCTGTCCTTGACCGACCTCGGTTTGCCCTCTGCATTGCTGTGCAGCTGTCCGTCCGTCTGTGTCTCTGGCTCTGATGCTCCCAGTCTTTTGTTGGACATTTCCCGTTAGAGGACACTGCATCCTCTTTAGCCGTCAAATCTTCAAAACTAACGGGTACAAAATGGGATTCTGTGGTTTTCCCCTTGATTTTATGATTTTTTAAAATAGAATAATCTTTATAGTTACTGAGTGGAAAAATTTAGACCCATCTTGTCAGTCCTTGATGATTCTTTTTCTCTCTTCTGTAATGTCAGGTTTGGTCCCTTCCGCCCCCTTCCCACAGCTGTTTTCCTCGTTCGCACCCTCTTTACCTGTGCCTTTTGTTCTTGTACCTTTAAGAACCATGTTTTATAAAGGTAATAGTTGTGCATAGGAGAAAAGTAGAAAATGTAGGTCAATAAAAGGAAGAAAAAATTACCCACATTTACGCAACCTGTAGGTAACTAAGTCCCCTAAAGTGTTTAGTGTATGTCCTCCCAGACTTTTCATATTGATATACGCACACACAGAGTTTTAAATGTATTTTATACCTCAGGTGGGATTATACTATACAGTTTTATAAGCTGCTTTTTTATTTAATGTATAGTCTTTCATCAAACAAATTTTTGCGATCAATCCTATCAACTCTTTTCATAGTAGGACCTCACATATTTAGGAGACGATCTTTCTAAACTCCAGCTGAGATCCTTTCGTGCCCTCGCCTAGAACCTTCCTGTGGCACAGCAGGGCTCATCAGTGAGCTTTCTGTGTTAGCCTGACACTAAGAAACCGCGGAAGGTCCCTCTGGAAGGACTGGGGGCGGAGGAGAAAGTGTAGCAGAACTTGGAACGAACCGCCTTCGCACTAACAGCAGAGGACCGTAGGAGCACCCTCTCCGTCCTGAAGGGTGCGGCTGGGCTACTTGGGGAAGGGGCTTTAAGCTGGTCCTCGAGAGTGAGTGAGCCAGGCCTCGAGAGCAAGGGGATGGGTGGGGATAGGGACTGGCAGAAGGAGAAACTTCCCGGAAGAAGGAAGACGGCAGTACCAGCAAAGGCCTGGGGAGGCCACAGAAAGCAGGGCTTGATGGAAGAAAGACAAGTTCAGTGCAGCTGAGGGCGACTGTGGACAGGGCGGGGAGCAGGGCAGAGGGAGGAAGAAACGGGCTGGGGCCTGGAGGGACTCTCGTCGGGTCCGCACCTCGCAAGGCCCCGTTCAGTCGCTGCGGGCTCCCTGGGACCTCACTTCTCCACCGGAGGAAGCCTGTGCTTCTTGGAATCACCTTGGCAGTGAGCCCTGGCCCTGTCTGCCCCTCTCCAGGCCCCTCACTGTCTGCTGCAGGGAGCGGTTGTGGTTTCTAAAATCCATGTGTCCCCATTTCTTCTGTATTACATAAGTTCTTGGAAGGAAAGGGTCATGCCTTAACATCTTGCTTCCCCTATTGCATGTGGCGGGTGGTGAATAATTGTCTGTAGCAGTAGTGAACAGGTTTCTGATGGAGGCACAGAGAGAGAAAATTGTTGATGAGGACTGGGAAGGGGATGAAGATGGGGAGGGACTGGTTAAAACAAAACAAAAACTGTCCCTGATTCCTGGAGAAGTCACTTAGCAAATACTAATAATTTGTTTAAAGTATATAAGAGTTAAAGCTGACCACTTTTTTTAAAGCTTCAGTCATTTTTTACAAAGAGAGCATAATTAGATTCTAAAAAATAACCCATCTAATGCATTTCCAGAAACCACGCAGATCGAAGATCCAAGAAAACAATGGAGGGGGGAGCAGGAGAAGATGCTCAAGGACTATCTCTCAGTGGCGCGGGACGCCCTCAGGACGCAGAAAGAGCTGTACCACGTGAAGGAGCAAAGACTGGCCTTGGCCCTCGACGAGTACATGCGACTGAATGATGCCTACAAGGAAAAGTCAAGTTCCCACACCAGCCGTAAGTACAGTGTGGCTCTTCGCTTGCAACGTGGGGACCAACCTGCAGAGGATAGAAGGCCCCTGGGTCGCTGCGGAGTTTCACTCTGGGTCCTGTCCCTTCCTCAGCGGGAAGGGTGGGGAGGGCTCATCGCAGACAGCTCAGGAGAGCCCCGCGGCCCCACTCCAGATTCGGGTCTCCTCTCTGGGGGACCCAGGATCCCTCCTTCTGTGTTTGCCCCTCTGTCGGCCTGGTGGCCTTTCACTTACTGCTGAGACCGTTTCGATCCTTTCAGATCAAGGCCAATAATTGAGCCCTATTGCTGTTCTTGTGCACAATTTGTGGTGGGAGGACCTGCAACCCTGAGCTAGAGTGACCTTGCTGTTGGCCCTGAGCTGACCCGGCTTTCTCATCTCGAAAACATCCGGGGCAGCCTCGTTCAAGAAGCAGCGTGATGGGCTCAGGCGCAGTTTCTGGAAGGTGGGAAGCCCCGATAAACTGTATCTGCCACGAGGACTTTTGAGATTTTATGTGTTGGTATAAAATCCAGAAGGAAATGAAGTTCCAGGGTCTTTATGGCCTCTGTCTTTCTTTAGTTTTTTTTTTAAATATAAAGGTTTGAAGATTACTTCTCATATTTGGGTGTTTGACAAGTGACAATAAAAGTGGAAAGTAAGTAAGTATCTACAGAAGGAGGTGCATCTTGTTTTTAGCGTGTGTAAGTCCTGCAACCTTGCTTTTCCTTTTTGTCTTTGAAAAGTGTTCTCAGGATCTTCATCGAGCACTAAATATGACCCTGATATTTTAAAAGCTGAGATCTCCACTACACGACTAAGGGTAAGATGATTTTTATCACGGTTCCACGTTGAACATAAGCGGTGACTGTGAAGGTGGGAAGGGGCGTTGGTGGTCACCCGCCAGGTCCAGGGAACGCAGGCGCCGCCTCCACCTGGTCCTGATGGGCGGGCTTCTGCCTCTGTTAGAGCAGATTGTCCTCGTTGTTGAGACAGAGCATGTTCCACTCCTGGGCAGTTTCCTCGTTTACAGTTAGTAGAAAACCTGAGTCTCCGTAACTTTTCCTCGTTGTGCGGGAATACATCTTCCGGAGTGGAGCCCGCTGGCTCTTTCCTCAGACAGCCCAGTATTTAAAGATGCCCCGGCCCTGGTCACCAAGCCACTTCTGTCTGGAACTTTACTGGTCTCTGTCACTTCCGCAGGGGTTGTGTTTCCTCATCTCTACCCCGAATCTTTTTTACCAAACTGCTGTTAAGGCCAGAGCTTGTTTCTCCTCGATGTGTGGAGTCTTAATGACTGTGCACCTAGTGAATAAATTCATGTAGCCATTGCCTCCACCGTGAAATGGGTTGTTGCCACGTCCCCAGAAGTCCCCACTGTATCTGCTCACGGTCATTGCCTTTCTCTCTAAAGGTAACCCTGGCCCCATCAACACCGTAGGTTAGTTTTCTGCCTGCTTTGAACTGTAGGGACCTGGAAAGCCGCCACGTGTGTTATGTGGTGGCTTCTTTTGCTCAACAGCATTTTGAGACTCATCCACAAAAAACTCCTGTTGCTGACAAGCATTCCACTCTGGGGCGCATACCATAAATTCTTTCTCTCCCTCTATTGATGTGCATCACAGCTTATTCCAGTTTCTGGTAATTAAAAGTTATGTCTTAAGGCGCATGTGTAGCATGCAGGTCTTTCAGGGCACACGTATACACATTTTTCTATCACGCTGCTGGGAATGAAAGAGCTGTGTCAAAAAGTACTTGTAGCTTCAACTTTAGCCAATGCTTACAAATGATCTCGGGCTTTCTAATATCTGCTCTTAAAGCTCTAAATTAATTTCTGTGCGTGGCTTTTGCCTGTAACCAACAGGTTTTGAGTTTTGTGTTTTTATTATCAATCAGTTAAAAATATTTTCTAACTTTTGTAACTTCCTTATGATTAGCGTGTGCTTAATTTTTAAAGAGTTGGGGATATTCTTATCCTTTATTACTGATTTCAGCTTCCTTCCACGGCATGCTTTTCAGTTCTAAAATTTCTGTTTGATTGTTTTCTCTACTTGTCCTAATTTTGAACATTGATACATAATTTTTTAAAGAACATAATCACAGTTGCTTTTCAAATTCCATGTCTTGATTAGTGTAATACTTAGATCTCCTATGTGTTGAATTCTTCAGTGTGGTCAGGAGAATGGTTTTGGTTTGGGGCCACTATTCGACATCTTACAGCTGCTTAGTTTTTTATTAAGGGTCATATATTATGAGTGACAAAGTATAAAGATAATTTGAGGTTTGGGGTGGTCTTGTCATGTTTCAGAGAGAATTTGGTCGTGCTTTTCACGGGCAGGTAGTTTGATGCAATCCTGGTTTGCGCTGTCTGCAGTCTGCATGTCATGACCCTTTGAAGAGTGGGTCTGTGTCCAGTTCATCCTTTCTCTCTGGGCGGAGATCTTCAAAACCCCGGTGGACTCCTGGAGTGATTTAGCCGGGCCCTTTTTCTGTGGCAGAGGGTGCACTCCAGCTCTCTCCCCTTGCCCGCCCCCCCCGCCCGGCTCCTTTAGGCCAGACCACCTGGAGTCCTCTGAGCCCTGACCACCCACGTGCTGTATCCCCCCAACTGGTCACTGGCAAATGCCTGTGGAGGGAAGCAGTGTCCAGTCTGGGCAATGACTGTGGGTCTTTCGCACGAGTTCTAGTTCGCCAGTGTCTTTAAATCGATGTTTTGTTTTGTTTTCCTCAGAACGTGTCTATTCATTCTCAGAAAAAGAGTGTGAAGAATGTTAGTCTCTGTTTTAAGTGAAGCCTCTCTTCAGCCTGGATTTCTGGGTTCGTTAGGAAGCCTTTGATAGACGGGTTCCATGTCTCTCTACCACCGACAGCCTCCCATGTGTTGGGGGCCCTTTCCTGGACCCATGTTCTCTGTTCCTTTCTCAGGAGCATCTTGAGACAGGTTGTCAGATGCCTGTGGTGGCTGTCTGTCCGTGCTGTGTCTGTACATTTCTGTGACCCACTGGACTAGATAGACACTCTATAAAAACAAAGTAAATGAAGGGATTTGTGAAAGCTTACTCATAATAACCTCCACACTCACCTGAGCTGCGCACTTCTCAGGGAGTTATTCCTTACTGCCCTTTGACATTTTGACCGTTTTTCACAGTTCTTATGTCTTTGTAAGACACGTGGTAAAGGACGTAGCAACAACAGGCTACTGTGGTTTGTTCGTGTAAATGCCCCTTTAGGTAAGGAGCAAACCAAGGAAGGGATTTAAAAACGAGACATTCTTTCGTTTAGGATATTCTATACGAAGCCTTTAGGAGGAAAGGGAGCCCCATCTCCATGGGGGAGGTCCCAAGGGGTCACCCTCCCCAGACCCGCCTCCTCCTGCAGCAGAATCTCTTGGGTGAAGCTCACTCCAAGCCCGCTGTAATCCGCTGTGCTCTCCACGGCCAGCGTTTCATTTATGTGTCTCACCGTTGTGCGCCCGCAAAGATGAGTCAGACAGGCAGGCAGGCAGGCCCTGGGAAGACGCTTCCCTCTCCAAGCAGATGGGGGACGTTCATCAATAAATGTAATAAAGATCGGAAGCGACAGTCTTCATCTCCTCCCCCCGCATGCTGGCCCTCGCGGCCTGGGCTGCCCCGGGGGAAGCAGATGGCGCACTGTGTGTGCAGTCTGTGTGCGGCTCGGCCAGGCGGCCCTCTCAGAGGCGGGTGGGTAACGTGGCAGAGGCTCACGGGTTTTGGTAAAATGGCCTCTTTTGGGCTGGCCTCCCCTGTGACAATTGCGTATGTGCCAGTCCCTTTCCCAAATTCGTGCCGCAGAAAGAGTAACTCGTGAGTGAACCAACTCTTCATTGTGTTGGCGTCTCAGGCACCTGCCTGGGTTTCTGCTCACAGTAACAATGATCTTCTTGACGAAGCCAGACACTAGCTTCACACTTCATTAGGCTGACGCAGGAGTATTGGCAGGTGTGCCCCATTTGTTGCACTGAACCAGAGGTTACGGGTCACGTGTTCGGGAACCAGGTATTAGGAACATCTGTCTAAAGCATCTGTTTATATTATTTTATGTTATGGTCATAGGTATTGGTGATGATTCAGCTTCAGTTTCATCCTTGGTCAAATAGGGTGAGTCACTCCCTGGCATCTTATTTCTACTTGTTGAAGTGCTGAAATAAAGCAATCAATACTTTTAAAAAAGAGTTTATGTATTTTTTTTAGGGAGAGGGGAAGGGAGGGAGAAAGAGGGAGAGAAACATTGAGAAACAGTGATCTGTTGCCTCTCACGTGCCCCCAACCAGCCACCTGGCCTACATCCCAGACATGTGCACTGGTGGGGAATAGAACTGGTGACCTTTTGGTACTCAAGCTGGTGCTCAACCCACTGAGCTAAACCAGCCAGGGCATAAATCAGTACTTTTTAATGAACATACTCATAACTTTTAAAGGTAGCATTTAATTGCTTTAGAGATATGAATGTAAAAATTTTGCTGCAAAATTTATCATTTCATTTATTCATAGTAGATGCTTAGCCCTTACTCATCTTGGAGGAGGGAATGGACCATCTCATACAAACTAAACTTTACATTCAACTGATATTTTTTAAAATGTATACTCCAAAATTACAAATAAGTGTGCTATTTGCTGAAAATTTGGTGGAGGAAATGTTTGTGGATTTGATTCAGCTTTTGCTAGTGTTTTATTAAACCAAAATAAAACGTTGAAAGTATAAGAAAAAATCTCTAGAAATACAAGTGTATTTGAGGAATATATTGAGCACCATAGCACATGCTCTGAGCCTGATTTTAATTTGGTTTAAAAAATAAAAAGAAAACAGAATGTAAACTTAGGGCCTTTTGGTTAAATTATTTGTACACTACTCTAAACACATGGCTAGTTAGTGGGTACTACTATTAATACCAATGTACTCTCTTTTCTTCTCAAATATATTTACTCACACAGTTAATATGAATTCACCTGAAATTTCTTTTAGCAATGGTGGTGGACTTAGAAAAGTCCACAGTCTTGCCTTTTTTGACTTAGAGAACTCCACAGTTTCACCTCCTTGTCATCCTCGGCGCAGATTTAAAAGAATTGCAGTTGGCTATAGAGTTTGCTTAGTAATTGTACCTAGAGTCAATTCATGTGCAAGTCAAATCATGGCACTTTAACCAGTGACCTAACATACAGAACTCATAGCAGTGTCTTCAAATGAAAAGAAACCTGTTTTCTGAAAGTGTGAATTACTGCGAATAAGGATCTCCTCCTCACTAGACATGAGAGGTGTCTTTCCATTCTCGCTGCAGTTAAAACTTTGTTTACATCCTCAGTCCCTTCAGCTGTGACTTACCTGATTTCAGGTGCTGAAGGTGACGGAGTGATTCTAATGTGAAAGACCAAGGCGTGCATTAGACGTGGCGCTGCTTTTAGAATGTTCGGAAGTGCGTTTGGGTGGCAGTCGGTGTTGCATTAGAAAACAGCACACCCAGCAGTGAATTTCAAATGAAGTGAAGAATGATATGACTTGACCCACATTCGCTAAAGAAAAGAGAGCAAAACCGAAGGAGAAAATGAGACAGTGATACTCTTTTTAGTGCAAGAACTGGTATTATCTCTGTTACGACATGCTAGTAACTTGAAATACTTAAAATTCATAGTGCTTTTTTTTCTCTAAAAGGCATCTTCAGACCTTGAGTAAAACTATAACACTTGATCACATTTATTGATTTAATAATGTTTCGTTTCTTTCTCTGAGTTTGGTCTTCTTTTCTAGCTTTGAAGGGTACCCTAGTGCAGGCTAAGTCATACGGATTTCGAAGAGACCCTCTCTGCT